GCAGGGATGGAGTTCATGGCTTAGATGGTGAAAAGATTTCCTTTCTAATGGCAGCTCCAGTGGGCTTGTAGTGCCCACCTGGAATCTGTCTGTCTGTTGACAGGGGGAGGGCAGTACATTACCATCTGATACTAACAGTAGGTCAGTGGTATTTTTGGAGTCTATTTTTCTTACTGGAGGGACTCTTAGGTTCCCTTTTCCAGTAGTACTTAAACTTGTAGAATTGCCCAGAAGTTGGAGTATTGAGTAAGATTTTAGAGATTCCCTTCCCTATCTCCTTCCCTTACCTTCATGCAGGGCAATTCTCCTTCAGTCTGTCTCCTACATTGGCCTTCCATGCAAAGCTTTGTTAACAGCTGTGGAAGACTTTCTTCAAACTATTGATTAGGTGGGACTTCCCTGGTGGTCCAGTGGTTAAGACTTCCTGCTCTAATGCAGGGGGCACAGGTTCAATCCCCGGTTAGGGAACTAAGGTCCCGCATGCCCCTCGGCACGGTCAAAAAAAAAAAAAGTAAAAACTATTGATCAGGTAAGCTTTCAGAGAGGAAACCAAGGACATGCAGCTCTTGTGGGTGGTAGTAACATTGGACAAGAATGACACCCTTCCCCATTTCCATGCTCCCCCTACACTTGGTTGGGAGTAACTTGCCCTAATCTTTCCTTCTTGTAAAGACACCTTTCCTTCTTACAAGTCATAGTGGATTATGGTCCACTCTAATGCCCTAATTTTAATGTAATTACTTTTTTAAAGACTCTATCTCCAAATATAGTCACATTCTGAGGTACTGGGATTAGGACTTCAACATATGAATTTGGGGGGGGATACCATTCAGCCCATAATACATAAAAATCAACTGAATAGAACTGAGAGTCCAGAAATAAATCCACGTATCTGTGGTCAATTGATTTTTAACAGGATGCCAAGACTATTCAATGGAGAAAAAATAGTAGTTTCAACAAATATTCCTGAGACAATGGGCTATCCAAATGCAAAAGAATGAAGTTGGATCCCTCCCTCATACTACATATAAAATTAATTCAAAGTAGATCAAAGACCTAAATGTAGAGCTAAAACTATAAAACCCTTAGAAGAAAACATAGGTATAAGTGTTCATAACCTTGGTTTCTTAGATATGGCACCAAAGCACAAGTAAGCAAAGGGAAAAAAATTGGACTTTATCAACATTAAAAACTTTTGTGCATCAAAGGACACTATCAAAAAAAATGAAAAGATAACCCACAGAATGGGAGAAAATATTTACAAATCACATATCTGATAAGGGTCTAGTATCAAGAATATATAAAGAACTCTTAAAACTCAGTAAAAAGATGATCCAGTTGAAAATGGGCAAAGAATCTGAGTAGATGTTTCTCCGAAGAAGATGTACAAATGGCTGATAACACATGAAAAGATGCTCAGCACCCTTAGTCATTAGGGAAATGCAAATCAAAAACACTTCATACCGCTAGAATGGCTAAAATAAAAGACAGACTAAAACAAGTGTTGGTGAGGATGTGGAGAAATTGCTGTTGGGAATGTAAAATCATGCAACAGCTTCAGAAAACAGTTTGGTATTTCCTTAAGAAGAGTAAACATAGAGTTATTATATGACTCAGCAATTCCAATCCTAGGTATATATCCAGGAAAATTGAAAAGACATGTCAGACAAAAATTTGTACGTGAATGTGCATAGCAGCATTATTCACAGTACTCAAAAAATAGAAACAACCCACATGTCCATCAACTGAAGAATGGATTAAAGATGTGGTATATCTATTTAGTAGAATATTATTCAGCCATAAAAAAGTAAAGAATCATGCTGCAACATAGAAGAACCTTGAAAACTTGTTAAGTGAAAGAAGCCAGTCTAAAAAGACCACACACTGTGTGATTCCACTTATATGAAATGTCCAGCATAGACAGATCCACAGAGATGGACAGAAGAGGAGAGATTGCCAAGGGCTAGGAAATGAGGAGTGACAGCTAACGGGGCTAGGTTCCTCTTTGAGGTAAAAATGGGGTTGAAAATGTTTTGAAATTATACAGTGGGGGTAGTTTCACAACTTTGTGAATATGCTAAAAACCACTGGATTGTGGACTTGAAAAGAGTGAATTTTATGGCATGCAAATTATATCACAATTAAAAATTACATGTGTGACTCCCATTATATTTTTTTAAGTTATTTATTATTTTTATTTATTTATTTATTTATTTTGGCTGTGTCGGGTCTTACTTGTGGCCCACGGGATCTTCGTTGAGGCATGAGGGATCTTTCATTGTGGTGCGTGGGCTTCTCTCTAGTTGTGGCATGTGGGTTTTCTCTTCTCTAGTTGTGGCGCGCGGGCTCCAGGGTGTGTGGGCTCTATAGTCTGCAGCACGCGGGCTCTAGTTGAGGTGCACAAGCTCAGTAGTTGTGGCACGCAGGCTTAGTTGCCCCGCGGCATGTGGGATCTCAGTTCCCTGACCAGGGATCGAACCCGCTTCCCCTGCATTGCAAGGCAGATTCTTTACCACTGGACCAGCAGGGAAGTCCCTCCCATTATATTTTTATTGGACAGCACTATTCTAGAATATTAACCATGAGGTCAGATACCAAAGGATACCATAATATAGGTTCTTTGGATGGTGATCCCACAGCAAGAGCCCTGGGTTCCAGTCCCATCCCATAAATCCTGGCCCACTCGTGTGTGTGTGAGGTGTGCCAGCTGAGCTGTGTGATGTGGGTCTTCCCCACACCAGCTCTGTGGCTACATGTGATGGCAGAAGCATCACTTACCTTATTCTCCAGGTCCAGGATACCCTCATGCTGGCAGACAAGCCTTTCTTCCTGGTGCTGGAGGAAGATGGCACAACTGTAGAGACAGAAGAGTATTTCCAATCCCTGACAGATGACACCGTGTTCATGGTCCTCCATAAGGGGCAGAAATGGCAGCCCCCATCAGAGCAGGTGATGTCCCACCTGTCAGGGAGAATACTGGGAGCTTAGGAGAAATCCTTGAGGGGTGCCAACCACATGCTTGTCTTGATGCAGGGCACTAGGTACCAACTCTCCCTCTCCTGTAAGCCTGCCAAGAAGATTGATGTGGCCCGAGTAACCTTCGACCTGTACAAGGTGAACCCACAGGACTTCATTGGTTGCCTGAACGTGAAGGCGACTCTCTATGGCACATACTCCCTTTCCTATGATCTGCGCTGCTACGGGGCCAGGCGCGTCATGAAGTGAGTGAATTGGGGTTAGCTGGGGACAGGCTGGGTACACTGCAGTGGGAGAGGCGCTATCTTCTCCCATGCACCTCAGGCTTCCCGGAGCCTGGGCCTGGTGTTGATGCTGACAAAGCATGACAATTAGCATTTGTCTAGGACTTTATCGCTGAATTCATGTTTTAGTTTATAGTAGTATATGCCAAAGGGATACATATACTCCAGCTGGTGGAACCTGGATACATTTAGCTTTTCTAATTACCTTCCACTATAACAACTAATTATTTTTCACCTAAAGTAGTAAGTTTTCCTAAGTAGTCTTCTGATCTTTTGAAAAATGAACATGTGTCAAAAATTTTATTGAACTCAACTAGTGAGAGAACCAGCAAGAAGTTATAATCAGTTCAAAATTCCACCCATATATAGATCCAACAAGAATGCTGAGCTATTTATAAATACAAAATTGGTTTTCATGGGGGTGGGAGGGATGAAATAACTGTCCTTCCATAGAACAGAATTAATTTGTATGTCTATGGACAATAGTCATTTGTATCATCTAATGAACTTTCAAAGAAACTTTTTACTTTACTTTTGAAAGTCTAATCAAGTATCACAGGAAGCATGGGAATATATTTAATCATAGGACAAGTACTGTTATGGTAGTGGTTTCCAAATTCAGCTATTCCAGTGGTGCTCTAGAGAATTCTTACCTCATTAGGCGGATGTAGCCACTGAGGCAGAGGCGTCCAAATAGTCGAAAACCACAAAGCTGGCCTCTTGCCAGTTACTTCTGACAGATGCTACTCCTCCCCAGTTGCTTCATTTAGTGTTTACTGAGTACTCTCTGTGTCCTGGCCCTATGCTATGAGCTAGAGACACAGAGATAAATAAGATGTCAGAACAAGCTCCATGAGGGCAAGAATTGCTGTTGCCTCCAATACCTTGGTGAATGCTGGTACATAGCAATAACTCAAATAATTGTACAATGAATGAAGATACATATGATCCTCATTCTCAGGGGCTTCTGAGAAATCCTACTCCTTCCAGAGTTCTGCCAGAACGTATGTAGCTAGAGCATACCAGACCTTCTTGGCTTTCCGAGTTTATTCTCTGCATTCCCAGTCTGCAGATGAGGGACCTGAGGCCGCGTGGTTCTGCCTGCCACAGATAACACTCAGCGGCAGGCTTGAGCCTCGTTCTATGGCAAGAAGTTCCATTTTCCTCTTATACCAGATCATATACCCCTCTTGATCTGGACTTGCTGCCAGCAGTTTGCAGATTGCAAAATCTAGAGCAAGAAGTTTCAGCCTTTAAACTCAGTCCGTCTAGGGGAAGTGGGACCCTCAGACCTAAACATAGTAGGCATATTGGTCCCAAAAGAAAAACAAAAGACAACAGCAAGCTGGAATCAGTGGAATGACTTAGTGGCGTCAGCAAGTGTTTTTTCTTTAATGGTGGTAAAATACAATACCATAAAATTTACCATTTTAACCACTTTTTTTAAAGTATAAAGTTCAGTGACATTAAGTGCATTCACAGTGTTGTGCAACAGTTACTTGTGCATCTATTTCCAGAACTTTTTCATCATACCAAACTGTAACTCTGTACCCATTAAACACTAACTCTCCACACCCCCTTCCCCCAGCCCTGCTAACCTCTGTTCTACTTCCTGTCTCCACTAATTTTCCTATTCTAGGCAACTCATGTAAGTATAATCATACAATACTTGCCCTTTTGTGTCTGGCTTATTTTGCTTAGCATAATGTTTTCAAAGTTCATCCATATTGTAGCATGTGTCAGAATTTCATTCCTATTTATGTCCAGACAGCTGGTTTGAAGCCTCAGTTCTCTAATTTGAGAAATGGGTATACTTCTCAGGTTTCACCTTTAAATTTTTTAAGTGTTTTCATGTACAGATGTTTATGATTCTAATTGTCTTCCTGTCCCCCTCCACCTCAGCCATAACATAAGTTCATTTACTGAATGAAGGTTAATAGAAGACAAGTTTTAATATCAGCCAGAAAGAACTTATTTTCCTTTTGTTTTCTTCTCCCTGATCCCTCCTAGGACTAGTCACCCCTAGTGACCCTCACCTATCTCTTTCAAATAGATCTGGATAAGAATTCGGTTGAGGTAGTCAAGCATTCAACCAGCTAGTCTCGACCCTACGTTTCTCCTTCTCTTCTACATATCAGGTCCTGTGTTAAGTGATGTATGTTATTTCATCCTCCTAACCCTGTGTGGGATCAAAATGGTATGATCTCACTTTACAGATGAGGGTGCCGAAGCTCAAGTTTGCCAAGGTTGCCACAGCTAATGAAACTGAACTAGAACTCAGGCCTGTCTGACTGGAGTTCTGTCCTCAGTACAGTGCAACACCAGACATGGAGATCTTCACGTCCAGCACTCTGAAAATTAGCTAGACTACAAATGACTTGGAAACACTTCTGTCTAGAACAGAGGTTGTGAAGGGCAGGGTCATGTGACAGAGATCAGTCTGGCTGGCCCAAAGTAGCATTAGAAAAATACAAGGCCTTGTTAAATGAGCTTGAATTCTGCACGAGAAAAGGGAGGTTGTGGACGTCTCAGTTAAGGTACGATTGCAGGTAACACTGTAGACCCTGTCCCATTTGCTGAGGGAGGGCAGCATCTGTTCTGTTTGCACATCACTCTACAGTTTATGAAGTTATGAATGCAGCGTGGGGGAGCAGGCATTTGGGGGGAGGAGGAAGGGGCTTTCTTTGTGTTTTGACCCTAGTGCCTTCTCATCCCACCCAGAGAAGCTCTCCGCTGGGCCCTCTTCAGCATGCAGGCCACAGGCCACGTGCTGCTCGGCACCTCCTGTTACCTGCAGCAGCTCCTGGATGCCACAGAGGGAGGGCAGCCCCCCAAGAGCAAAGCCCCATCCCTCATCCCGACCTGTCTGAAGATACTGCAATGAAAGCCCAGCCAAGGACTAGACCGGGGACGCCATGCTCAGCTGGTAGCACCCACAAGCCTGGCAGCTAGAGAGCTTCTTACCTTCCCAACACCTCCCTCAGCCCCACAGGAACATGCATGATGAAGCAGGGGGAAGGGCCGGAAACCTGGGCTGGGATGGCCAAAGGAGAACTGAGGGCTCTTGGCTTGGCCCGGCTCCTTCCTGCCCCAGGTAGCTTAGCGGGTCAAGACTGGTCACCAGCAGGCTATGGCAGGGAGGCTGCCCCTCAGCAACCTGTCTTCATGTGCTACACTTTCATTACACTGCCTACCTCCTGGCCTCCTGTCCCAAATGCTTCTGAGTGAATTGTCAACCCACTCGTGTATGATACTAGAGAGTTTGCAATAAATTATTTATGCTGATACATCTTCTTTGCTTCTGTTCTTTGCGAGGTGAGGGTGGGGTTCTATCTGGAAAGTTGGTAAGGTCTAAGGGAAGAGAGAACTCTGTTGTCAAACCATTCTCCATAATGTGGGGTTATAGGAAACAGCACTTTTTCTACCAAAAAAACAAACAACAAAAAAAATTAGTTAATTCTGAAACTAATGTCTGCTTAATCTGAGGCTTGAGCAGATCTCGTAATGAATATGGTAAATGACAATTTCCAAAATAAGCTTGCCTACCAGAAGGACTTTGGGAACACAAAAGACCCAGAATTGCCAAAGCAATCCTGAGGAAAAAGAACAAAGCTGGAGGCATAACCCTCTCAGACTTCAGACAATACTACAAAGCTACAGTAATCAAAACAGCATGGTATTGGCACAGAAATAGACATATGGATCAATGGAAGGAAATAGAGAGCCCAGAAATAAACCCATACCTACAGTCAATTAATCTTCGACAAAGGGGTTAAGAATATACAATGGAGAAAAGACAGTCTCTTCAATAAGTGGTGCTGGGAAAACTGGACAGCTCCATGTGAAAGAATGAAATTAGAACATTCTCTACTACCATATACGAAAGCAAACTCAAAATGAATTAAAGACCTAAATGTAAGACTGGGTACTATAAAACTCCTAGAGGAGAACAGAGGCAGAACATTCTTTGACATAAATCGCAGCAATATTTATTTTGGATCTGTCTCCTATAATAGTGGAAATAAAAGCAAAAATAAACAAATGCAACCTAAATAAACTCAAAAGCTTTTGCACAGCAAAGGAAACCATAAACAAAACGAAAAGACAACCTCCAGAGTGGGAGAAAATATTTGCAAAAGACGCAACAGACAAGGGCTTAATTTCCAAAATATAAAAACAGCTTATATAGCTCAATATCAAAAAAAGCAAACAACCCAATCAAAAAATGGGCAGAAGACCTAAATAGACATCTCTCCAAAGAAGACATATAGATGGCCAGTAGGCACATGCAAAGATGCTCAACATTGCTAATTGTTAGAGAAGTGCAAATCAAAACTACAATGAGGTATCACGTCACACCAGTCAGAATGGCCATCATCAAAAAGTCTACAAATAATACATGCTAGAGAGGGTGTGGAGAAAAAGGAACCCTCCTACACTGTTGGTGGGAATGGAAATTGTGCAGCCACTATGGAGAACAGTATGGGGGTTCCTAAAAAACTAAAAATAAAGCTGCTATATGATCCAGCAATCCCACTTCTGGCCATATATCTGGAAAAGACAAAAACTCTAATTCAAAAAGAGACGTGCCCCCCAGTGCTCATAGCAGCACTACTTACAATAGCCAAGATACGGAAGCAACTTAAGTGCCCATCAACAGATGAATGGGTGAAGAAGATGTGGTACATATATACAATGGAATACTACTCAGCCATAAAAAAGAATGAAATAATGCCATTTGCAGCAACATGGATGGACCTAGAGATGATCATAAAAAGTGAAGCAAGTCAGACAGAGAAAGACAAATATCATATGATATCACTTCTATGTGGAATCTAAAAACATGATATAAATGAACTTATTTAGAAAACAGAAACAGACCCACAGACATAGAAAACAAACTTATGGTTACCGAAGGGGAAGGGGGAGAGGGGGACAAATTAGGAGCTTGGGATTAACCGATACACACTACTATATATAAAATAGGGGGGGCTTCCCTGGTGGTGCAGTGGTTGAGAGTCCGCCTGCCGATGTAGGGAACACAGGTTCGTGCCCCCGTCCGGGAAGATCCCACATGCCGCGGAGCGGCTGGGCCCGTGAGCCATGGCCGCTGGGCCTGCGCATCCGGAGCCTGTGCTCCGACGACGGGAGAGGCCACAGCAGTGAGAGGACTGTGTACTGCAAAAAAAAAAAAAAAAAAAAAAAAAAAAAGGTAAACAAGGTCCTACTGTATAGCACAGGGAACTATATTCAGTATCTTGTAATAACCTACAATGGAAAAGACTCTGAAAAAGAATATATATATATATGTATAACTGAATCACTTTGCTGTACACCAGAAACTAACACAACACTGTAAGTCAACTATACCTCAATTAAAAAAAAAAAAGAAGAAGAAGGGCTTTAAGGGGGATTATGGGATTAAGGCACTCTTCCATTTTCTCAATGTCACATTTTAGTACAACCTTTTAAATGTGTAGGTGGGAAAGTACTAGTCAGGCTGTAATGCAACTCTCCTCTGAAGCCTTCCCTAGCTTGCCAGACAGCCCTCCTTTCGTGTTCAGAACTCTTAATCTTAGGATTTCGAAATGAGCCGTTAGGTAGCCACAAAGTATTAGTTTATCAGTGTGAGCTGGCATTTTTCAATATCAAGCAACTCAAACAAGACAAGCATGAAAGGCTAGGTTGGTAGGAGACTGTGCTTTGGTCTGTGCCTCTCAGATTCAAATATGTGTCATTTCTGACTCATTATAAAGGCTACTTGGGTTTATTAAATACTAAGACAAAGGCCTATGTTACCACAGTTAAAGTCTGGAGGGTTACTTCTGGCAGCTGACCCAAACCCTGCAGCTACGTGTGGAAGGAGCTGCCAGAGCTAGCAAAGAACATTTCCATGCCGGGCTTTCCTGCTCTTGCAGCTATGGTTGGAGGCCTGGCTCAGTGCTGTCCTGGGTCCATGGGGTAGGCCTTCTGGTATGAAGGCGTGATGTTTACATCAGCACAGAAGCTATTCCCATACAACTCTTGCTGAGGCTGTGGCCTACCTGCTCTTCCTGTGAAGTTAGTCATAAACTGAGTCGGGCTGGGGTGGCTGAAACTTGGAATTTGTCCCAACTTGCCTTCCTCCTGATATTCTGAGTTTCACATGTGAGTCTTGAGTGGCTGATCACTGTCTCTTGGCACTGAGCCCTCCCAGCCTAGGGATAATTAGGTGTCTTCCTTTTCTTCTGGAAGCTTGGAGATTAATGGAGTCGCACCAGCTGTGGGCAGTGAACAGGAGAGGGCAGGCTTTGCTGAGGCTGGGGCGTATGGAGGGAAAATTCCAAAGAGCAAGGGAGCTAAAGCCTTGGCAGGGCCAGGGGCCAGTCCAAGTGGGGGAATGGCCCTTCCTGGGGCCAAGCGTGGCCAGTGGAGGAGAAGTCTGCTGTCGGTAAGGTAGGCTGTGTCCTGCCCCTCAGCCTCCGCCTTTCCATCTTTGCTCAAGCTGCAAATCATGAACGCACCTTGCAGAAGAGGGGTTCCCAAATACCATGGGGCCTTAGGACACAGCACAGCAATGTCCAAGCCCAAAACAAAATAAAATTACTTGCATTCTTGCTAAATTTCTTGCCAGTCCTATCTGAATTTGTGCACATTTAAAAATTGACTTTTGGGACTTCCCTGGTTGGTCCAGAGGTTAAGACTCCGCGCTCCCAATGCAGGGGGCCCGGGTTAGATCCCTGGTCAGGGAACTGGATCCCACATGCTGCAACTAAAAGATCCTGCGTGCTGCAACTAAGACCCAGCACGACCAAATAAATAAATAAATAAATAAATAAATAAATATCTTTTAAAATTGGCTATTTAAATCTTTGAATTAAAACCAATTAATTTTATTGAGCTATAATTTACATACAAAAAAATCTACCCTTTTAAGGTATATAGTTCAATAAGGTTTGGCAAATTTATACAGATATGTAACCACTAGTTCCAGTACACCAAAAATTTCCCTTCTTCCCCTTTCTAGTCGATTCTCATTCCCTCAACCACTCCAGCCCTTGTCAACCACCGACTTTTCTAAAATGTCATGTACCTAAAATCACACAGTCTTTTAAAAATTTTATTTCTACTTATTTTCATTATTTAAAAAATTTTTTATGAACCATAGTCTTTTATATCTGGCTTAGTTTTTCTTTTTTGGCCACACCATGCAGCATGCAGGATTTAGTTCCCCAACCAGGGATCGAACCCGCACCCCCTGCAGTGGAAGCAACCACTGGACCACCAGGGAAGTCCCTTTTTTCTTTTGGTCTGGCTTATATTTTTAAACTAGGGCTCCATTTGTGTCTGAAGAAGAGATATATCAATGAGGTTAAAAATTTAAGCAGTTCTAAAGGGTAAAGATAATTATTCACGTTCTCACTTCTGATTCCTTTTCTGGAAGCAACCAACATCTCATTTGTGTATGTCCTTTCAGAAATGCAGAAATATATAAATATAATAAATATATGTAAATCACACGCATGCAGGTGTATGCATATCCTAGTCACACTGTTCTTCACTTTGTTGTTTTTTGATTTAATATATTCTGGAGATTGATTCACATTACCACATGTAGACCCCTACACATTCTTCAATTAATGGCTGCATATGTATGCGCTACAATTAATTTAGCCATTCCTCTGTTGACAGATGTTGGTTTATCTGCAGTCTTTCACTAATGCAAACAATGAATTGAAAGTTACAGTGCTCTTAGTAAACAAAATAATACACAGGTTGCATGTAACTTTTCCACTGTTGTAATTACAGGAGAGAGCCCATTTTGCTTTTTGCTTTTTTTGCACTTACCGTCTTCTTTTTCCTGTTGCCGGCGCCCTCTCCTCCCACCCACACCTTTCCCTCCTGGTGAATTGCTGAGTTCCTCACAGTCTGTCAATCACAACCC